ACCGTCTACGTTATGTGCGTGTATGCATGAGCTCAATGTATAATAGTGTAGTGTATAGTGTAGTGTGTAATAGTGTAGTGTATAGTAGTGTATAGGAGTGTATAGTGTAGTGTATAATAGTGTAGTGTATAGTAGTGTAGTTCATAGTAGTGTAGTGTATAGTAGTGTATAGGAGCTTAGTGTATAACAGTTTAGTGTATAGTGTCGTGTACAGTGTATAGCATAGTGTGTGTAGCATAATGTAGAGTGTTATATGTATGTTTAACTTATTTCGCACTGTACATAGCCAACCATGCTAATTGGAGGTGTGGGGGAAGGACAACAAACTAAACAAAACAAAAAGCAGTTAATGTGTTTCAGTAAAATATGAGTTATTTCTAAAAAGAGTAGCCGACCTTCCATGTCTTCCATCTAAGGTTCCGGGCATCAATTAACCCGCTCAGTCCGTAACTCTATGCCCGTATCAGGGGATGCACGATTAATCTCGTAATACAATTGCTAAACAAATTAAACTCAATTTGATCGTAAAAATTGTGTTGCCAAGTGAGGAATTCGCCCTCCCTCCGCCAATTTAAAAAAAAACAACCAAACCAAACGCATCAAGGCAATTGCCCCAGCACTAAGCAGACAAAGCAAGCGCTCACAGGACCCGTCTCGGCTTCCAAGTCGAGTCAATTTATTCGGTGGCTTTTTTTTTCGCATCAAAATCGGGCCACCAAAAGCAACTGGTCCCGGAGGCGCTCTACTGCCGGCCAAAGGGTGTGGATATCACGCCCCCTGTCCATCCCATCTTGGGCTCACAGACGCATTTAGAAACACGCGATTTAGACTGTTTAGATTATTGTGCTGCTATAAATGTCGAAATGATGATGGGCCACTTTGTTGAGCTATCATTTGTGATGGCGAGGTCGCTTCAGAAAAATAAGTGAATACCTCAGTGGGCTTTGCCTGATGGGATTGGGGATGTTTGAGTGTTGTATTTGTATTGTGTTTGGGTGATTTATTTACCTTTCTTGTACTTTGCACGACTATCGTGTTTTTGTCACTGTGTTTGTTGTTGTAATGTTCTTACCCCGTACCCCGACTGGACATCCATGAGTAAAGAGCTCTGGGCATGATTCGGTCATGTTGAGAGACGACAGGAAAATTACGTGGGTCAGAAGGTGGAAATCGTTGCAAGTGGAAGGGAAAGAGATCAAGAGGCAGAAGGAGAGGTGGGGGGGCGGATGTGGTGCGATCGGATATGGTGGAACACCCCCACATGAGTGGGGCAATCGCGTGGAAAAAGAAGTGTTAGTAACGTACCGAATTAGTAAAAATAGACTACACATTTAAGGTGTCAAGTATATTTTTTCCTGGGCTAGCTTTCTCACTAAGAATATATGCAAAAGTAATTTTTACATGTAAATAAATCTGCACTCACTGGTGTTAGTTGCGAGATTTATGATGGAAGTTTGTATCAGTTCATCAAATGCTTCAGTCTGGTTAGGCCTTCAGTGACAACTTTCTACAATTGGCACTGCTGCTGCTCCGTCTCACTCCCGCCACTGTCACTCACTTGTTTCAGGCATACTTTCATTGGTACTTTGTCCAATTGGCAGGGCCGGATTAAGTTTATTGTAGACCAGTGGTTCTTAATCTGGGGTGCACGCACCCCCTGGGGGTGCAAGATTCCCTTTCTGAGAACCAAAGGGGTGCAGGCTGCAGTAGAGGTTAAAAAACACTGTTGAAGGCCCTAAGCAACTTATGTTTCGTTAGGCCTTCAGTAATAACTTTCCAACAGTGGGCACTGCTTCCCATGTTACTACCACTGCTGTTGTCTCTCATCTTGTGGCTCTCGACCATTCGTGGTCGACCGCCAGATGCATGTACAGTCTGCACTGTAAAGACGTATTGTACTCTAGCTGCACTCTGCTCACGCCACATTCTGCTCATCCTCGCAGCGGTGGCTTTTGGCTGGCCATCGAACAAAGATGGTGCTCGCTGCATAATCGCACGGCGCTTTCGGGTGCGCTGCTTCTGCGGGCGTCTGGAACGCTCTTGCTTCCAATATTAGGAAGCCACAGAGAACTACGCACTTTTAGATTATCATCTATATTGACAAACTATTTAGTCTGGCTTGTTGTTGTGTTATGTTTGTTGTTCTTCCCCCTGCTCCTCCGATTAGCATGGTGAGGCTACGTACGGTGCGATAGAAGTTCAGCAACATACATATATGCTGCTACTGCTGGAGAATCCACACATGCTGTCTTGTCTCCATCTTGACTCCCATGTGGCCCATCGCGAGTCCCAGGTCACACGTTGATCCACAGCGTCCAATGAGGCAGTGAGGTTCAGCCGGCCACCATTTTCTTTATCAGTGCCCTCATTAATTACACTCTCTTGCTGTTCTCCTGTGACACGGTAGTAGTAGTAGTTGTGTTCCTGAAGAAAAGTCGCGTTATAATAAATAATGATGTATAGTGTATGGGGGTTAAGCGCAGTCCATGATAACGCCACGAGATGTGTAATTTAGGGGTTGCACATAGACTGAAGAATGTGGTGGGTAGCATCTAGAACAGGGGTCGGCAACCAAAATAACAAGAAGAGCCATTTCTTTCCAATTCGGTACAAAATTCAGTATTTCAAGAGCCGCAATGCATCTGAGTACATACTGTACATACGTACATATCGTTAAGAAGCAGCCCGTAAAGAGCCGCATGCGGCTCTGGAGCCGTAGGTTGCCGACCCCTGATCTAGAAGCATCATCCAACAGCATCCCAATGCCTTGTGTGACGATGATGATGATGCTACACCGAGGCAGGCGTACGACTAAGAGTTGGACGCCATGGGTAGCGAGAAGTTAACTACCTCGCCTGGCATACAGAAGGTTGTGGGTTCGATCCCGACCATGACGCCATGGTGGCTAGGAAATGTTAACTACCTCGCCTGGTATACAGGAGGGCGTGGGTTTGGTCCCGACCCTGACGCCTGTATATTTGGAGTCTGCATGTCTCTTCCCATGGTCGCATGGATTTTTCTCCAGGTTCTCTGGTGTTTTGCTCCAGTTTTAGAATCAACGTTACATGTTTATAGTATTTGGCTGCTATAAATTTCCTTCACGATGAGAAGCAATTTCGTTGAGCAGCCATAATTTGTGATATATCTCTTCTGCAAAAAGAGCTGCATAGCTCAGTGGGGCCTTACCAAGGACAAATAAAAAAGTAAAACAAATCAATTAGATTTAGATGAGCTAAAAAGTTAAAATGTAATGATAGACTTATGGAAGGTGAGAGCGCTGAGTCAATAATAGCCTTTTCTTCATTTTCAGGTTGACGTGTACAGTATGGTACTGTTCGTTTGTTCGTTTCTCAGCCCGTTCGTTCTGGGGAGAGTCACGGCTGCAGCAGCGTGCTGAGTAGTGTGATCTAGACCTCCCTTTCCCTTGCGAAAGACTCCAAGCACTACTACACTATACACTGCTATACGCTACACTACTATAAACTACACTACTATACACTACACTTTTCACTACTATTCACTACACGACTATACACTACACTATACACTACACTACTACACACTACACTATACACGACTATTCACCACACTACTATACACTACTACACTGCTACAACTAATATACTACTTTACACAACACTACTATGCACAGACTCCTATCTCTTCATGAGGAATTCCCATGCATTCCCAGGTCAGCTGAGGCACATGGTACCGGTACTGTACACTCCATTAATTTTTTATCAGTCTTTCCATTTGCTCTTACGAGTTATATATTTAACATCACGGCAAACATCGGTCACATTTCACTTAAATATACTTTCCCGCGTAATGTGTTGGGTTGACGTGGCGTATATCATATCAAACTTAAGAAGGGGTGGGTGTTGTATTAAGAACCGTGAACTAAGCACGCCCCTCCCAGTTATTATTTTTCCCATGAATGCCTTCGAGATGGCAGATCACGGATTTTGCCGATAGCGGCCGTTTTTGAGACCGTAACCACCCCTCATCTCACCAGCCCCCAATACGATGGAAATGTTTTGGGGTATAGTCAGTTCTACTATACTGCTGCATAGACTTTCGAATGTCCATGTGCGCTTTATCCGACTTGCAGCACTTTTGAGATTTTTACATTAATTGATAACTTGGGGGATGTTCCCTTAAGCCCAAATGAATCATCTAAACACAGTTATACAACATTGTTATTCTTGGAAATGTGTATTACAAGTCACACTGTGTTTAAACCGAACAAATATGTTGCTCCGGTTTATCCGAAGTCCACGTGATCGCCTCTACAGTACAGTAGTTGCAACAGTGGGGGGTGGAGTTTTATTAATGTTGATTGACTGTGTCTCTGCTATTATCCACTTAGTGGGCCGAGTTTTATTGATGTCTGATTGGCTGTGGCTCTGCTGTCATCAGCTTAGTGGGCTGAGTTTGATGTCTGATTGGCCGTGGCTCTATTATCATCTACTCAGTGGGCTTAATTTGATTGATGTCTGATTGGCTGTGGCTCTGCTATAATCCAGTTAGTGGGCCGAGTCTTAGTATTATTATCACTGAGTATGCGGATCACCGATAAGTCGATGATGCCTCATGTGCTGTCCTGGCCTTCATCGGCCCTGCTCGCTACTAACAGAACTTGCCCCAACAATCTCTTACATGATATGAAGGGGCATCTTTGTCTTTGTATCTCTCCTCCCTCTTGCACCCCTTGGTGCAGGAGGGAGGAGGCTCCCTGTCTCTATACACTACACTATACACTGTGATACACTACACTACTATACACTACACTATATACTACATTATAATAATCTTGATTTGAAGCTTTCGTGACTGCAGTAATCCATACTCTTTGGTTCTTTCGGTAAAGTAACGTAGGTAGAAAAATAAAACAAAATAATGTTTTTTTTCTACTTACGTGACTTTACCGGAAGAACCAAAGAGTACACTACAACACTTAGTAATCTTCACGTCTCTCTCTCTATGTCCGTGTATCTCAGAGACCATGTCCAAGCCCGAGGTCTCTCCCCATAACCCCGTGGCGCACGTGGGAGGCTCCCTGTCTCTGCGCTGCGTCGTGCACCAGGGCTTTCCTCCCATCTCCTACTCCTGGCTCAGGGGAGACGCGAGCTCGGAGGGGAACCTAACAGCGACCGGGGTCCACACGGAGTCGTGGACCCTGCACAACGCGCGGCACGGGGACGCGGTCGCCTGTGAGGTCTCCTACAACGTGGGCGGAGCAACGACGATGGAGAGGAGCGGCATGGTGACGGTGACGACAGTGGCGCGCGGTATGGAGAGGATGACTGTTTAATTTGTATTGTCTTGTTTTTGTTACGCTTATTTTAACCCAGGAAAGCCTGAATTGCAGGTACATTTTCGGCATTGGGTTGGTGGATTTTTTGGGGAGAATATCAGTGAGCTATGGAGGAAACCAGGGGGTAACCCATGCAGAGCAAGGAGAGAGAATACAAACTCCATTAGTCAAAAAGCGAACCAAATAGGATCTTGCTGCGAGGCACAAATAAAATTTGTTTACCTCAATGTTATGCTCACGGCGACTTTGATGTCATTGAATAGAATAAGGGGGAAACAATTAACGTGACAGAGAATGCAGTTGAAGCGGGTAACCACGTAACATCTTGTGGTGACAAGGGATGTGAACTACCTTGCCTGGTAAGGAGGATGTTGTGGGATCGATCACGCACCTGATGCCTGCTGTATATTTGGAGTTTGCATCTCTCTCTTCCAGAACCCTCGTTTCATCCCATATGGAACCCTCGTCTCATCCCATACAGAACCCTCAAGTCATCGCATATAGAAACCTCGTCTCATCCCATACAGAACCCTCAAGTCATCCCATACAGAACCATAGTCTTATCCCACACAGAACCCTCGTCTCATCCCATACAGAACCCTCATTTCGTAGGGCATGACAGAATCCCAACACACAAGGCAATTCAAAATGAAGTGGTAGACTTTCGCAACCAATGTTATTCATAATTAAAGTGATTTTGGGCTTCAATTGCATAAGTATAAATGTGTCGTTACCCCACTACCACTACCACCCGACACAGCCAATCAGTGAGGGTTTGTTTGTCACATGAACACAAACCGTGCCGATTTGGTTAACGACTTAAGTTCACTTCACCGCACGGAATTCCGGCACAATTCGCCCGATGAAGCTGCTGGTTATTGTAATCACCAGCGAAACTTCACAGCTACTCAAATTGTAAATGTCCCATTGGGTTTAACTCTCCAACACACAACAACCAATTAGTCCTGAACTAGTCACGAATTGTACACGTTTTATTTTACGCGACAAACCCCTTACTGATTGTCTATGTCAGGTGGTGGTGGTGGTGGGTTAACGACACATTTACAAACCTGTTAACTCCTTATCAGTGTCTACCTTAGCGGCCGTCCATAAATGACGTCACGCACCTGGGGGGGGGGGGGGTGTTTGATAAATGTGACGTCACATCAAAATGCGCAACTTTAAATAAATATGGACAACGCGTTCTATTAACTAAATAGACTTTTTAATAAATGTTTTCTCCTACAACATCAGAGTGTAGCGCCACATTAAATACGCACTACAATGACAATAGTTTAAAGCGATTTGAAGCATGTTTTATTTTTCGGGGGGGGGCAGAGCTTTGTGACGTCATATTTGAAGGGGGGGGTCTGAATTTTTGTGACGACGTCGTGTGACGAAGGGGGGGGGGGGGGGTCAAAAATCGTCCAAAATCGCGTGACGTAATTTATGGACGGCCCCTTATTACAGACCAATTCACACCTTATCGGTCACCCCGTGCCCTTATAAATCTCAACGTTCATCCTTAAAAGTCCCATCACAAGGGGAAAACACAAACAAATAGACACAAATATTGTCCTTATTAAAACGGCTGTATGCCGTATGGATCTGAAAGCTCAATTACCCCATACAATTCTCACGACGTTTCGGTCGTGAGAATTATTTCATTATGTTTTATTTTTATTATTTTATTACTTACCTTCTACGTGACTTTACCGAAAGAACCAAGACGATTATCTTCTAGAGTTTCAGTTTATACTGGGGTTCAGAGTTCAGGTTTAGGGGGTTAGATACGAGGCTATTGAATAGGAGTGCCTCAAACACACTGATGTCCACGCCTTGCTTCTGCAGAAACAGCAGTTTCATTGTAACCACAATGAAAACTGCTTAGGGTCGTATCGTCTCATGTGGTTTTTTTTCAGTCGTCAGTTGTCTTTGACAGCGCTAAACACAACGAACTCAAAATGGACGCAAACCCCTTAATGATTGGCTGTGTCGGGTGTGGGTGATGGGGTTAACCACACCACATTTATATTTACGCAATCTAACCCAACGTAACTTAAATATTTACTTAAAGCTTTCGTGACTGCAGGAATTCATATTCTTTGGGTCTTTCTGAAAAGTCACGTAGATAGGTTGAAAGAAAATAACCAAAAACTACGAAGTTTCGATCGCAACGCAAGCGGTCATCATCAGGACAAAAAAAAACGTCGTAGTATTGTTATTTTTTTTCAACCTATCTACGTGACTTTACCGAAAGACCCAAAGAATACCAAAGTAACTTTTATTATGACAAAGACAAAGACCCCCGTATAGACTTCAAAGATTGTTGTTGTAAGTGCTGTTAGCAAGCACCTATTAAGGCCAGCACGGCACATAAGGGGGTGGGTGGCTAGCACCACGCCCGGCCGCCACTGTCTCCCCAGGGGCGATGTTTACTACACACCGCACCAGTTACTTATTTAAGGCTGAGTACACCTAGGGTAGGTCCAGTACCGGTTCAGATAATGGTCATTAGTGTTGGCCGTGATCAGAAATCCAACTCGGGTCGTCGGGTTCGTAGCGCTAACCGCTACACCACCACTCCCCACCTATTATGAACACACACATACATAGCAAACAAATGAAAATCCCCCACATCTACTGCTACTACTGCTGAAAAAAAATGTGAACGAGTAAACAAATTAAGAATATTGCACCTAACCAAAAAAACACAAACACAAAAGTTATATTTTTTGGTTCTGATAATTGGTTTTTTACCCTTCTATCTGGCAACAAAACTGACACCTTTTTTTGTTGCCAGATAGAAGGGTAAAAAAACAATTATCATATTTTTTTCTGGCAAATGAGGTTCCAATGGTGTAAATTATTTGGTTCTTTCGGTAAAATCACGTAGGTAGAAAAATACAATAAATAATATTATTTATATTATTAACTTTTTTGTTTTATTTTATCATTATTTATATTATTTTTTGTTTTCTTTTATTTTTCTACCTACGTGACTTTACCAAAATAACCAAAGAGTATGGATTCCTGCAGTCACGAAAGTTCAAATCAACACAAAAGTTACAAAATGGGACCTTTTTTCCAGTATCCAAAAAAATCCCATTTTGTAGCTCTTCACCCCGAGCTATGAATCCCCTGATAGTGCATTGCCCTGGTGCTGTTCGCCTTTAGGCATTTTCTGGTCTGACGCTGGTGGTGAGACTATGCACCTAAAGAAGGCTGCTGTCTCTGGTGTAGGCCAATCAATTTCAAGGACACACAGGTACCGTGGTTAATGCAGTGACTTGATTCCTTGCAAAAGGTTTAGTCTCTTTGGTGTTGGAACATCTTAACACCTCTCCTGTTTTATTGCCAGAAAGGGTAAAACCTATTTTTTATTTTCATAATACAAAAGTTATCAACGGGAAGAAATTGCATCGTAAGTCTTAAGCACATGTGCAACAGCAATGACACACGCTTGAAGATCCATTTTTTTAGGAACGATCGTGGTTTTAAGGTAGATCTTGGTTGATTTCGTGATATAAGCCCTGTGCATGTAAAAGCAAATTGTTTTGGTTGTTTGCTTTGCAATTGAGTGCGAAGGTGAGTTTTTTCTCTCTTTCTCTCTCCCTCTCTCCAGAAGATGGAGACACCCTTCCTCATTACATCTACTGGGCTCCTCTCCTCATAGTCACCTTGCTCATTCTCATCGCAATCCTGCTATACGACCATCGCCTTAAAAGTAAGAGATCATGTCATGGTGCATTCATGGCTCTAGACTGACACGGGCATTGCGCCATCGTGGAGATTTATTCATTTAACAAATTCTACATTTAACTTGATTGCCCACAGTCAAAATACGAAAAATAAATAAATGCTCTTTGAGTGGACGTCTTTGGCACTGCGGTTGACTTTGGCCCTTATCCACGATTGGGGAGAAGAAACTTGCTCGTCAGTCCTGCACGCAGGATCCAAGATGTTTCAGTAGTTCAGGGGGTTCAGGAGTTCAGGAGCTTTACCATGCTTCTCTTTCTGAAGTGCTCGGCACTTTGGCAGTGGCGAAAGGCTCACAACGGTGTTTTCTTTCACCATGCAGGTATTTCTGCCACTCATGGCGTATATGTGATGCTCATGCGCCTAGACCTGGTGACCTGCACTGGGTTAATCGCAACTCGAGTTGGTGTAACCAGTAATTGCTTGAATTATGGAGGTTGCTGGGCTGCATCGGGCTTGCGGACAGCTTTCCAGGACCTTCTGCTTGACTTAGAGAAGTCTGCACTGGTTACTGATTTTTGCCGGCGAGCGCACCGCACCAATGTTGAGGCTGTTGATAAGACGAGTTGGTACCTTCGGGTTTCCAGACCGCTCATTTTTGCTGAAGTAGCTGGGCTGACTCAGCTTCAAGACGGCATAAACACCGCGAGGTTTGGTCTTTGTGGCTGCTTTTATCAGTGCGGGAAAGGGCAACACAACAACAACAATCAGTTCTAAAGAAATCAGTTTTCATTTTAGTATAGTATAGTGTATAGTATTTAGTAGTGTAGTTTATAGTAGTGTATAGTGTAGTGTCCAATAGTGTAGTGTTTAGTAGTATAGTGTATCGGAGTGCAGACTATAATAGTGTAGAATAGTCTCGAGTAGTGTAGTTTATAGTAGTGTCGTGTCCAGTAGTGGTGTATAGTAGTATAGTGTATAGTAGTGTAGTGTATAGTAGCGTAGTGTATGGTAGTGTGGAGTATGGTAGTATATGGTGCAGTGTCCAGTAGTGTAGTTTAGTGTAGAGTAGTGTATAGTGTAGTGTCTAGTATTTTAGTGTTTAGTAGTATCGTGTATAGTAGTGTAGTGTATGGTAGTGTAGAGTATAGTAGTCTATAGTAGTCTATAGTGCAGTGTCCAGTAGTGTAGTTTATAGTAATGTAGTGTATAGTAGTGTAGTGTATAATATTGTATAGTGTAGTGTCCCATAATGTAGTGTATAGTAGTGTAGTG